GGAAGCCCTGGCCCCCCTCTCCTCCTGCGCCTCCGAGATGCAGCACAAGTGGCCGCACACCCCAGTGGAGTGCACCGAGCTGGACCTCCAGAAATTCTCCACTCAGGCAGAGTTTGTGGGTAGCGAGCGGCTGGGGGTTTTGAGCCGGGCGGCACAGAGGATCCCGGCAGAGAGTGGTGGCCTGGGGTGGGAGGGGACCCAAGGCCCACCCTCTGCCTTCCCGAATCCCACTGCCGAGAGTGGGGAGCAGCCGGTAAGTTCCTCCTCTTACCAGACACCCAGGGCTCGGGCACAGGGTGCTGGGCTCACCAGTGGGTTAGGGTTGTAGACAAAGGTTCACTAATACCTGGGACTGACTGGTAACTACTGACAATAATTTGCCAGATGTTTAGTGATGTGTCACTCAACAGGCCATCAGCTGTGCAGATGTGACCTGCTGGGGAGGTTTCAAACACCCAAAAGATCAGAGTCAGTTTACTGAATGTATAAGCACATCTTTAACTGATGTGCTCTCAAGTGGTCCTTGTCCTCCTGCTCTCCAGAGAGCTGACCTGGCAGCGGGGGGAGCTGGTTCCTCCTCCCTTGCTGGTGAGCTCCTAACAAACCCAGTGACTAACACCATTGAGGCTCAGAAAATGTCTGGCAGAGAGATGTGTTTCACAGCTTTGCTCCAGGTGACCGTTTATGGAAGCGGTTTGCTGGGAGGCCCTGGAGCATCCTGAGGAGGTTGTTGGCTCTGTGAGGTGCTAGTGCTGGAAGGAGAAGCCATTCCTCTGAGCCTCTGGGATGGCCCTGGGAGCAGTGACAGGCATTGCTGGTCTCACCGGACTGCCGCCAATCTTGGGGTCTTTGTCTTGCCAGGTGGATGATGCCCGGAGCCTTGTGACTCAGATCAGCAGCACAGCAAAGGGTAAGTGTCTTTCCAGCCTCATCTTTGTTCTACAAATACTGGAGCAGTGCAGAGAGGTAGATTCTTGGAAGGGATTCTCCTCCAGAAGCCCACTGTGGCTATAGGGAGATGCCCATCATCACCGGGAGTTATGTGAATTTCATGGCCTTTGGTGCTGGTTCACAGGGTAGATTTTCTGTGGTACTGCCTTGAATGGTCTGTGGGCGGGTGGCGGATGGACACCCAGTTGTCACCAGCATCCTTGGGACTGAGCAAGCTCCATGTTGCTGAGCTTTGAAAGTGGTGTTAGAGGAGATGCCTGCCCTGGCAGGGTGGGGCTTCACCTGCTCAGCAGGGACAGGGCTGGACTCTGGCTGTTCTGTTTATCCTTATCCTGGCTGGGTAGGTTGGTTTCTAACCCCACTTTGCTGTGTTGCTGCCCCCAGGTCTCCCGGTAGCGGAGCTGCCCCATTCCTTGGTGCAGTCACTTGCCTTCTTGTTGGACCCTTCCTTGAATGGTGTGAAGAATTTCAGCCACGTGGCGCTGGAGCTGGGGGTTGCGCCCCAGTTGCTGGGACGGATATCTGGATTTGAGCAGCTCGTCGCTCACTTCACCTACTCTGGAGAGGCCGTCACCGTCCCGCTCCTGGCCCAAGCTCTGCAGCGGCTCCAGCGGTTCGATGCTTTGCTCCTGCTCTGCGACCGCTTCGCACTCAACCAAGCTCCGGGCCGCCAGCACTAGAGAGGACAGGGAAGGGACGGAGGAGGCTCCAGGTGCTGTGTGTACTGGTACAGGAGAGGATCCGGTACCCTGCACTCACAGACCTCTGGTGTGCACGTAGGGAGCACGTGGAGATGGTCTTTGCATGGCG